GAGAGAGAGAGAGAGAGAGAGAGAGAGAGAGAGAGAGAGAGAGAGAGAGAGAGAGAGAGAGAGAGAGAGAGAGAGAGAGCACTGACAGTGCTGCCTGTCTGAAGACTCTGTCGTTCTGAATTGAACTGCAAATTTCGAACTTTAAGTTATATGAAGTTATTATGAACTTAAATTGCTTAATTCAAAGTTCAAACTTCAAAGTTAATCATACTTTTTTCAATTTTTTTTTTCTCTGTTTCTCGAGTCTTGTGCCTGCTTTGCACTGTTTGCAACTATGCATGTCTGCTAGTTGAATGTGCTTGTTGATTTGCTGCAAGACAGGTAATCTGCTGCCTGAACTACAAAGTGCTAAGCAGGTGAGTGCCTGCTCAGGCCAGAATGCCGTGCCCCTGGGCTCACACGTTCCTATATGGAAAGTGTGCCCTGCCGCTGGCCTGCCTGGGCGTGGTGTGTGGGGGCCCAGTAGCTTCGAGTTGGCAAAGTGTCTGCGCCCAGGCCCATTTTCAGACACTGCCCTGGGTCTCGTGCACTTAGGCACGTCTAGGTAGCTCTCCAGGTGCCAAGTGTTTGCCGCATTCTCATTGGCTCATGGTAGATGTGTGATGACAATGCTGCATTCTCACTGCTCCATGGCCACTGCGTGATGTGTCGGCCTCCACTGTGTGTGCCCAGGGCGCAACCACCTGAGCCCTGGGCTCAACTGTGCAGCACAGCTGTTCCTTCTGGAAGGAGCCACATTTCGTTGCTCTGTAACCAACCGGCATGCGACAAATGTCTGAGACTCCATGTATGCAAAATGTCGAAAAATCGGCCTCTCATGGATGTACAGGCCTGCTCGCCTTTACTTAGGGCAGGCACGAGGCTTGCTGGGGGCCGCAGCCCAGAACATTTGCATGCCCGAGAGGGGCCTCGCGGGGGCTCATTCCTTGCACTTCTGCATACCATGTTTAATTGCGCACATACATGAGCTCGTGCGCCGTATGTGCGCAATTGTGCGCACGGCGTGCGCTTGCATGAATGGTCGGAAATTATACCACGTAGATATGAAAGTTTTGAATTCTTGTTCTCGGTACCAGGCCAAGTTCATATCCTACCCCATCATCAAATACAGCATTTACGAACTAGAGATCCTGAACAGAACACCACGGAACGAACAAATAGAAACCTACCTTCTCAGGAAGGTTAGGGTCTCTCATAGGAAACCCTGGATCATCTTTCAGCCGGAACTCAGGCATTGAGGAGCTGGAGTTCAACCCAAAGGAATGGACATGGGAACTGGGCGCCACCGGGAAATCGAGGACGATAACAGAATATGACGTAAAGTTCGGATATAACCTCGGACTACAAACCAGGGACCCAAATCCAAGGCTGACAGAGAAATGGAGAAAAACATACTGAACTTAGGCGACACGATCCCCATCACCATCCCCTGGCCCAAATACCTTCTCATCAGACCTATCAGAATCCATATCCTGCAATGGCTAATAGCACATGCAGCCCTTCCCGTCAACCAGTGGCTACACACTAGAAGGAAATATTCAGACCCTGATAGTTCGGAATACTGCTCAATGTGCGGCAACAGTTCTCCAGAAGGCATCCCACACTGCCTCCTGTTCTACCCAGAAGCTACATGGGTATGGAAGAAGGACCGCGAGCTATGGTCGATCATGTTCGCTGCCCCGCCCCCTGACATTCCCCCCCTCTCTATCCTAATCCTAACTAACATCCTTACCAACATCACAGGCAGCAGGGAAGTTTGGTTTACCTTGAAATGTGGTCACTACTGCTGATCATGGCAGAGACGGAAATCAGAAGCAGATGGCGGAGAATAGTCAACTGTATAAGACACAGACCAGAAAGACAAGCAACCAAGAAACAGACCTTCATGAGGAACTGGCTGCTAAGAGGCAAGGTGGCAACGATAGCTGACAACAGGTTGAGGTGGAAGAAATGGTACCAGACACAGTCATGAAGCCTATAAGGCTCCCCACCGGACGCCCTGGCAGAAGGTCAAAGAAGGCCCGGAAGAGGGGTCAACAACAAGGCAAACCGGACACTCAATGAAGGACAAGGACAAGCAACAGATTACTGAGCGGTCCCCCCCACTGTTCTCGTATTGCAGGGACTCATCCGACAGACTCTGAAAGGAGCCTGAGAGGAACAAGTGATCAGGGCAAGCTGACAGTCAATCCTCCTTAGAAGGAGTAATCAATGCTGGTCAGGGTTCCTTCGGCCAGACGGAAGGAAGCGTTGTGTGAGTAGAACGATGTATTCTTTTGACTTGCCGGGGGAATAGGAACCGGACTGACGCTCCCCAGAATGGATATGGAGCCAGGACCATAAGGACCTGTTTAAAAAAAAAAAAAAAA